CTCCTCTCCATCTCCATCATCATCATCATCATCATCATCATCTTCNGTCATCATTTTTCACACCCATACACTTCCAATGAATCACAATCAGGATAAAACTTTCCACCATCACCACCATCAACAACAGCAGCTTAAGTGGCGACTACAGCAGCTGCAATCAGCCTCACTCCCTCTGCAAACAACGTTAACTTAGATGCTGACTTTAGCATTCAGTCCTCATTGTTAACATGGGACTGATAAATTTAAAACACGTTCTCTCTCTCTCTTTCTCTCTCTCCCTCTCTTTTTATCTCTTCTTTTCTTTTTCCCTCTATCTTTCTTTTTTATTATTTTTTTCTTTCTCTCTCTCTCTCACTCAAAAATTAAAAACAGACATGAAAGTACACAAAGATACACACACACACACAAACATAAAAACACTTAAAAAATACACAATCAGACACAGATACATTAACACACACTAACTCACGCACACACTAACTCACGCACACCTAACTCACGCACACACTAACTCACGCACACACAAACACTAACTCACACACACACACAAACACTAACTCACACACACACAAACACACACACACACACGCTATATTAATAGTACTGTCAATAAAACGCTCTAATACTCATGGGCTTAATTGCAAATGATTAATACAACGGCCGTGCAGATAATAATTTTATATTTTTTTTAATTATTTATTTATTTAATCATTTACTTATTTATTTTCATTCTTATTCATTAAATTAAATTATTTCTATAATAACTATATTTATATAATTATTATATTATAATTAATAATTATAATTATTACAGGTGACTTGCTGCCGGCGGATGGAATAATTATTCAATGCAATGACCTAAAAGTTGACGAAAGCTCGTTGACGGGCGAGTCTGACCATGTCAAGAAAGGCGAACAAACTGACCCTATGTTATTATCCGGTCAGTATTTGTGTGTGTGTGCGTGCGTGTCTGTATGTCTGTCTGTCTGTGTGTGTGTGTGTCTGTCTGTCTGTGGGTATGTGCGTGCGTGTCTGTCTGTCTTTCTGTCTGTCTGTGTGTGTGTGTGTGTGTCTGTCTGTGTGTGTGTGTGTCTGTCTGTCTGTCTGTGGGTATGTGTGTGCGTGTGTGTCTGTCTGTGTGTGTGTGTGTGTCTGTCTGTGTGTGTGTCTGTCTGTCTGTCTGTGTGTGTGTCTGTTTGTCTGTGGGTATGTGTGTGTCTGTCTGTATGTATGTATGTATGTGTGTGTGCATCTATGTGTGTATGTATCTATATGCGTGTGTGACATCTTTTCTTTGCAATCTTTCCAGTAGTTGTTAGATTTTCCATTCTTTCCTTCCGCATGATGTGACTAAAAAACTTTAACTGCCCCCGTCGGATTATCTGTAGTAGTTTCCTCTTTTCATAACCGGACCCTTTTAATACATCCTCATTCGAAGTATGAGAGGTCCAACTAATTTTTATAATTCTTCTCAAAAACCACATCTCAGCAGCGTTATTCTTTTTCTCCACTTCTTTATAAATTGTCCAGGACTCAGAGCCGTAAGTTAAAACAGGAAAAATGTAACACCCTGACAGTTTTAATTTTATTGATATTCTGATTTTACTGTTTTTGAGGATGTTTGTCATTTTAGAATTTGCACCTTTCGCCTTAGTTATCCTTCGTTTGATATCCATGCCACATTTCTAGCTGCCTACCTGATACCTAACTTATCAATCGAAAGAGGGTTGGAAATATAATCGAGTTTGGCTGTTAATTATTATTTTTGAGTTGTGTTGGAAACTATTCTTTTGTTACTTATCAATCTTGATAGGAATGTCAATCACCCAACCAACCAACCAATCAACCAACCAGTTGACCAACCAACCAACCAGCCAAACCAATCAACCTACCAACCAACCAAAGAACCAACCAACCAAACAACCAACTAACCAACCAACCACCAACCATCAAACCAACCAACCTATCAACCAACCAATCACTCAACCTACCAACCACCCACTGACCCAACCACCCGCACAGGCACCCACGTAATGGAGGGTAGCGGCAAAATGTTGGTGACAGCAATTGGTGTCAATTCACAAGCGGGTATCATATTCGCACTGCTTGGAGCAGCCGGCGAGGGTGACGATGAAGATGCTGCAGCTGCTTCAGCTGCCTCAGCTAAACACAACAACAGCAACAACAACAAAGGTTTGACGACGACGACGACAATGATGATGATGATGACGACGACGATGATGATGATGATAATGATGATGATAATGAATTTAGGCAATAACTTGCTGTGTTTATCAACAAAATGATAAGAAAAACAAAAAAATGGAAAAATACTAAAAACATATTGAGAGCAAATGATAAGACGTGCAATAAATAACTGTATAACGCGCCTACCACAGAACTAATAGCCAATAGCGAGAAAGGCGCCAAAGAATTTGTATCCAATCACAGTAACGTCGGAAACATAGACAACAAAGCAAATAACCCAGAACTGGCACAGTTGGCTGTGAGAACATTTTTTTATTCTTTGTTATGGCGAACCATTTTTATGTTAAATTTTCTTTGCTCATGTAATTTTACCGCTATCTTGTCTGTTTAGAAGATGTTGTTGCAATGATGATGATGATAATGATGATGGTGATGATAACGACGATGATGATGATGACCATAATGGTGATGACGTTGTTGTTGTTACATTTGGATTAGTTTGTTACTGATATGAACGTTTACTGATATTCAAATTTCACCACAAATCTAGTAGTTATATAACCACACAATGCAAACAACCACTAAATTTTCAACCACATTCGCCACCACAGCCTGAGGTAGAAATTAAAATTCCATCGGCCAGTGAATCGAGCAGAAAAGAGAAGTCTGTCCTTCAAGCTAAGCTGACTAAACTAGCCATTCAAATAGGATATGCTGGTTTGTATACGCTGTTTTTCTCTTTCTCCCTCTCTCTCTCTCTCTCTTCTCTCTCTGTTTCTCTCTCTTTTTTCTTTCTTTCCTTCTTTTCTTTTTCTATTTCTTCCCTCTTTTGTTACATAGTTACAAAATTGAATTAGCTTATATTTCAATTCTTGTTTCTCAGGCACAGTGGTTGCAGTACTAACTGTTCTGATCCTAATTCTCCGATTCTCAATTGAAACATTCGCTTTCCAGAAGAAACCATGGAAGCACGAATACATCCAGCAATTTGTCAAGTTCTTCATCATCGGAGTGACTGTCCTAGTGGTGGCAGTCCCTGAGGGCTTGCCACTGGCCGTCACGTTGGCGTTGGCCTACTCTGTTAGGGTAGGTAGCGAGGGGGGGTTCTATTTAGTGGGATGTTTTGGGACGAGGTTCATTTTTTAATGTTTTGCCGTTCGCTTGTTTGTTTTTTAATGTTGCGATAATTTTATGGCAAACTGAAATAATTGAAACTAAAAGTGATGATATATGGGGTGATGATGACGACGACGATGATGACGATGATGTCTATGATGACGATGACGATGATGATGACGATTCGAAATAAGGCAATTAGCAATATTTATTGCATACCTTGTGAGAATGATCGATTGATAGAAAGTATAAACTCCTCCTTAATATTTGGATGATAGTACGAACGTATTAATAAATGAATAAAACTTTTTAAGAAGTTGAAAATATTATTAACAGTAGAAAACTGAAGATAAAAATGATCTTCAATCAGATATAAAGTAGATAGTAATTATGAACTGTTAAAATGTTTTTGTATGTATGTATGTATGTATGTATGTATGTATGTATGTATGTATGTATGTATGTATGTATGTATGTATGTATGTATGTATGTATGTATGTATGTATGTATGTATGTATGTATGTATGTATGTATGTATGTATGCATATGTGTGTGTTTGTTTGTTTATATGTGTGTTTGTGTGCGTGTGTGTGTGCAGTTTTAAACCCTGGACGAAGGCATCGTCTGAAACTCTTTCCATAATCCTATCAAGGAAAGCTTTTTAAACTTGTCATCGTCTTTTTCTTCGTCATCATCATCATCATCTATTTCATCATCTTCATCATTATCATCACCTCCACTATTGTTATCATCATCACAATCACTGATATTATTGTCATTCCTTTACTCATATTCTAATTTTTTTTACTTGGTTACCCATTTGTTGACCATGCACCCGTTTCTCACTCATTGTTCACTCCTTCACTCATAATCTAATCATTTTCACTCATTCATTTAATAATTTACTCACTCATTCACCTACTCACTTTCACTCACTCACTCACTCACTTACTCACTCACACACTCACTCACTTACTCACTCACACACTCACTTACTCACTCACACACTCACTCACTTACTCACTCACACACTCACTTACTCACTCACTCACTCACTCACTTACTCACTCACACACTCACTCACTTACTCACTCACTCACTCACTCAATACTCACTCACTCACTCACTCACTCACTCACTCACTCACTCACTCACTCACTACTAGAAAATGATGCATGATAATAATCTTGTGAGGCACTTGGACGCTTGTGAGACCATGGGCAACGCTACTGCAATCTGCTCTGATAAAACAGGGACGCTAACAACCAATCGTATGACTGTTGTTCAGAGCTACATTGCTGGTTGGTTGGTTGGTCAGTTGGTCGATTGGCTGATTGGTTGGTCAGTTGATTGATTGATTGATTGATTGATTGATTGATTGATTGATTGATTGATTGATTGGTTAGTATGTTGATTGACTGATTGATTGGTTGGTTAATTGATTGGTCAGTTGGTTGATTGATTGATTGGTCAGTATGTTGATTGATTGTTTAATTGATTGGTCAGTTGATTAATTGATTGATTGATTGATTGGTTGGTTAATTGATTGGTTGGTTGATTGGTGGATGATTGGTCAGTTGTCAGAAGGCCAGTTGGCTGTTTGGCTGATTGGCCAGCTAAGTAAATGATTGATTTGTTGATTCATAATTTGATTGATTGATTGGATAGATTGAATCGTTGATTGATCATATAATTGATGAATATAACCTTGACCTTTGACCTCCTCCACAGGCAAGCATCACAAAATCGTTCCTAATTGGGCAGACATTCCTCCCAAGTGCAGGGACATGTTACTGAAGATCATCTCCATCAACAGTGGATACACGTCACGTGTCATGGTCAGTTAGTTGTTGTGGGGTATAATTAGTTGTTGTGGGGGATAGTTCGTTTCGTTTCGTTTTGTCTCGTTTAATTTTATCAGTATCGATTTTGTTACTATGGTGTTATCTTTTCATCTTATTTCATGCTTCGTAATTCTAACATACCATTTTTAACGCTGTGCTTGATTCGCATTGCTATAACAACTACATAAACCACAATAACATCATCATAATCATCATCACCATCATCATCACCATCATCACCATCATCACCATCATCACCATCATCACCATCATCACCATCATCACCATCATCGCCATCATCATCACCGTCACCACAACCATTTAAGGCTCCGGAAAACAAGGGTGACCTTCCAAAACAAGTGGGTAACAAAACTGAGTGCGCCCTGCTGGGGTTCATTCAGGACCTGGGTCAAAATTACGAGGCGGTCCGTGAGGAGATGCCCGAGGAGAAGATCCACAAGGTCTACACCTTCAACAGCGTTAGGAAATCAATGAGTACCGTCATTCCGCGGGTCGATGGGGGGTACCACTTGCTTACGAAGGGGGCGTCCGAGATTGTTCTGAAGAAGTTAGTGTCGTGTGTGTGGCTGTTTTGACGTGTTGCCTATGTTAATCCTATGCTGATTTTATGTTGATTTTATTCATCGCGTAATACAAACCAGCAGACGTAATCGTACTCATTAGCATATGCTAATCAAATTAATTTATTCATCACGTGACCTGAAAAAACAGATGCAATTGGATACACGGGAGAGACGGGGAGGTGCGTAAGTTCCTGCAGCAGGACCAGCAGGCCATGGTGAGGAATGTCATCGAACCGATGGCTTGCGATGGTCTCAGAACCATTTGCCTCGCCTATAAGGATTTTGTCCCTAAAGGTTATGATGACGATACTATTGATGTGGTGATGATGATGATGATACAATGGTGATGATGATGATGATATAATGGTGATGATGATGATGTATTATGGTGATGATGGTGATGATGATGATGTATTATGGTGATGATGGTGATGATGTAATGATGTCTTGATGATGATGTCATCATCATCTTCTTCATCGTCATCTTCATTATACCACCACCACTATCATCATCAACATTATCATCATATCATCATCATAACCATCATCGTAATCATTATCATGCCGCCATCACCACCACTACCACCACCACTTTTGCAGGATCAGTAGCAGGCGGAAACGAGGAGCAGATAGATGGGGAGCCAGATTGGGATAATGAGGACGTCATCGTCAGCAACCTCACGTGCGTCTGCATCGTCGGCATCGAAGATCCTGTCAGGCCTGAGGTGGTGCTGATGATTATGATGGTGGTGGTGGTGGCGGTGGTAGTGATGATGACGTTTCTGATGACGATGATGATGATGAAGTTTATGATGATGACGATGACGATGATGGTGCCGATCAAAACAACACTGAAAAAGATATGAAGAAATGAGGAGAATGATGATGATGAGGGTGGCTGCAGTAATGATCCTCTAACAATCCCACAAGGTCCCAGATGCTATCCGGAAATGCCAGCGATCCGGAATAACGGTACGTATGGTAACCGGTGATAACCTAAACACCGCACGGTCCATAGCACTGAAATGTGGCATCCTGAAGCCTGGAGAGGACTATATCGTCATTGATGGCAAAGAATTCAATAGGAGGATCAGGGAATCTCCGGATGGCCCGGTTGGGAATTTTTTTTATTTGTTTTGGTGTATGTGTGTGTGTGTGTGTGTGTGTGTGTGTGTGCGTGTGTGTGTGTGTGTGTGTGTGTGTGTGTGTGCGTGTATGTGTGTGTGTAATAAGAGTAATAATAATCATAATAATAATACAAATATTAATAACGCAATAATGATTACAAATGCCAAAAGGTCAAGCCGGAGTTGTTCGATAAGGTCTGGCCGAAGTTGAGGGTGCTGGCTAGGTCGTCGCCTCAAGACAAGCACACCCTTGTCAAAGGTCAGTTTGCCCTACATGTGTGAAATGTTTTTGTTTTGTTTTTAGTCCAAACAAAGGTTGTTTTATTCTTTTTTCGTTCATTTCTCTCGTTAAAATTATTATTTTATTGAGTTTTACATCTGGGAGGAGGATCTTCGTCTGCCAGAGTTTAGATTTTTTATAAAAACATTTAGAAAAAATAACACCGACCTAAAACTGTACTCTATAGCGCTTGGGTATTTTGTTAGAATGCCACAAAATACCATATCATTAAAATGATACTTTTCTAAATAAAATTAAATTATCATTAAAATACGGCGAAATAACCTACCCTTGAATGGTATTTGAACTGCCAGGCATAATAGAAAGTAGGCTAAACAGT